ATGATATTTCATTGAATCTGTGGATAAATTTGGGCAAAGTCAACATCTTTAACAACCTCACCTGTGCTAAGCTTCAAACAAATCATATCTCTCAATTTCCCAATATCTCACTTCATTTTACTTTTATTTCGCATGTCCTTTTCATTACTTGTTAAATGTGTATTTGTGTGCAATGTTGGTTTTAGTATTCAGTTGGTAACTGAGTAAACACAGGAACATTTTGTTTTCCTGAGCCAATGGTGAGTCCTAAAGTAGAGTGAGAAATATATCTGATGCATTTCACAGAGGTAGGAGCACTGTATTGCAGCACAAATAATAAAAACCCAGAACAGATATTGGGGTTTAAGATGAAAGATCAGAGAAGCAAAACAGCCAAGCCACTAGACAGCCCTTATCTCTATGAAATCTTCGGACTGAAAAGACAGTGAGTTTCTGTCTCATCTCACCTTAGATTCCTCTCTAGTGCTGGTATTAAAGACATGCAGCACTGCCTGGCCTCTGTGGCTAGCTAGTATGGCTGCTTGGATTGAATGTATGTGTCACCACTGCCTGGCTTGAATGACTGACTAGCATGGCTGGTTTGTCCTCTGATCTTTGGGCAAGCTTTACTTATTAAAACAAAAATAATATATCACTATATTTCCCATTGTGTCTAAACTAAAAAGAAGGCTGTAACTAATATAAGAAAAACTATATACAATAAGTACAATAACTATATACAATACATATGGACAATAAATAGGTCAACAATATCTAGTCCATTTACATTTGACAAATTCAGAGAAAATACTCCATATCTATCCTATCATGGAAATTACAAAAGGTTGTACCTAATCCACTTTTTATTCTAATTTGCACTATGAAATTATCTTTTAATGTCTCTCAAACATTTACACTTTACACCTCTTTCGTGAGTTGCTTTTCTGTGTTTAGTAAACAAGGAAATATTGAGCTACAAATATCTAGTCTTTGACTATCTCAGAGGCCCAAGAAAGAAACACTATCAATTGAGGAAACAGGAAGTGGACTCAAGCATCTTCTAAAACATGTGAGAAATGATACAAAGAGCTGGCTGCCTGGACAATCACCCCAAGTTCCTCTGTAATGCTGGCACATCCATCTTCAGTCTTGAGATGGTGGCGTGCTGATTCACACCCTGCCCATACCCGAGAGTTGTCTCACAGTGCACCTTGTGGTGTTGATGTTTTTGTGGGTTTTCACAGTTTCAGCTATGGGTAGCAAGCAATCCATGTCTGTCCCCCCTGGGATGGATGCCTAAAACCATAGACCTTAATGTCCTTCTTCTTCAGCTCGTACCCTTACTCTACCTGTGTCCACCAGCTCCCCTTTTTTGGGAGCTTTCTAACTACTATCAACACACAGGCTAATGGACCCTGTCACCGCTACTGCTGCCAACAAGATTGGTCAGATCCATGAGGCAGCTTTTTCAATTCCAGTCTTTTGCTCCTCTCTGCATCTTTGTGGCGCTGTCATGCCTTATTCTCAAAGGAGCGAGAAGAAGTTTCCTAGCAGAGTATTTTCCCAGGAAGATAGTGGTCTTCTCCTCTCCCACTCATGATATTCTGAGCACAAGGTCACTTAGCTCAGCCCAGCCAGCCACCTGGTACAGGCTGATAAAGATGGCCTAACTCAAGAGCAATGGCCCTGCTCTAAGGACAAGGAAAAAGCTGGCATAACAGAATGGGAGGGAGCAAAAGTCTTTGTACCCATGTCAAAGTAGATTCAAAGATTCTCTTTGTAGTTATGCCTTTAAAAGTTTACCCCACAGAGGAGATACAACTCCTCTCTCTACCTCGCTGTAACGGGGATGGAGATGAATTCCAAACATGTTTGTATTATGCTGATTAAACCTTGCTTATTACAGTCTGGGCCTCTCTGATGGTCTCTCTCTGGGGGTCGTAATCTGAGCACAGCAGCTTGTGGCATGGCGGCTCAGCCACAGGACAGATCACGCCTCTAAGTCTCTCTTATTATTAACCTTAAATTCCCTGCAGTACAGAATTGTGGCTTTTCCATATAACATGTGACCGCTGCCATTTTGACTGAGGTCAGTTGAATTTACTATCATCTTAACTGAGGCCAAATGACTTCACCGTCATCTTAACTGAGTGGTTTTTCCTTACAACATGTGACTGCTGCTATTTTGACTGAGGTCAGGAGACTTCAATGCCATCTTAACTGAGAGCCAGGTCAGGTAACCAAATCCTGCCATTTTTATACTCTGCCTGGTCCCCCAGTTCACTTATGTGTTTGTCTCTAAATTCCTCTTGTTGACTCTGTTGCATGTGTGTTTTGTGTGGTGGCATGCCTTTGGCAGGGCCCACCAAATCATCCACTTAAGCCAATTCCTGTTCACTTTGTGTGTGTGTATGTGTGCGTGTGTGTGTGTATGTGTGTGTGTATATTTATACATAAAATGTAAATGTACCTATGTTTACTGTTAAATGTTATAATTGTCTGTTCATTGTATCTCACTTCAGACTACAAAAACAAGTCTCATGTTTTAAAATGGTATGTACTTTTAAGTCTCTTACAAAAACACTTTATATTTAATCCAACCCTCATTTCAAATATATTAAGATGTTCTCTACTATTGTCAGTTCTGCCATTAACCTTCTATTGCAAGCAGTTTTTTCTTCATTCTTTTTACGAGTGTAAATCTTACCTGTTACAAGCCAGTACACTCAAGCTCAGAGCCAGCTTTCCAGGTAGATTATATACTGTAGCTGTACCTGATAAACAGCCCTCAACTGCTCAAAGTTTTAGGGAATATGGCATTTAAAATTTTATACATTTTTATTGATATTTATTGAGCTCTACATTTTTCTCTGCTCCCCTCCCTGCCTCTCTCCTTCCCCTTCAATCCTCCTCCACGGTCGTCGTGTTCCCAATTTACTCAGGAGATTTTGTCTTTTTCTATATTCTACTTCCCATGTAGATTAGATCTATGTTAGTCTCTATTAGTGTCCTCTTTGTTGTCTGTGTTCTCTGGGATTGTGACTTGTAGGCTGGCTTTCTTTGCTTTATGTTTAAAAAACACCTATAAGTGAGTACATGTGATAATTGTCTTTCTGCATCTGGGTTACCTCACTCAAAATAATGTTTTATAGCTCCATCCATTTTCCTGCAAAATTCAAGCTGTCGTTATTTTTTCTGCTGTGTAGTACTCCATTGTGTAAATGTACCACATTTTTCTTATCCATTCTTCGAATGAGGGGACTTTAGGTTGTTTCCAGGTTCTGGCTATGACAAACAAAGCTGCTATGAACACAGTTGAGCACATGTCCTTGTGGCACAATGGAACACCCTTTGGATATATACGCAAAAGTGGTATTGCTGGGTCTTGAGGAAGGTTGTTTCCAAATTTTCTGAGAAATCGCCACACTGACATCCAAAGGAGTTGTACCAGCTTGCATTCCCACAAGCAATGCAGAAGTGTTCCCTTTTCACCACAACCTCTCCACTAAGCCTCCCACAAGTCAGCTTTTACCAACTGGCTCCAAGACTAATCTTTTCTACACCAATCAACTTCAGATTAATCCCTCCTCTCTGGAATTCCCCTAACTCTGCTTAAAAGAAGCTTGTGGCCTTCCTTGGGTATCACCAAGAGTCATCCTAATGTTGAAAAGAATAAAGAAATATTTTTAATGCATACATGGTTGTTGGTCTTCTTTAGGGGATTCTCTCAGACCCTAACTATTCTGGACATCAATTTCTTTTTGGTTTTCTTGAGCCAGAGTTCCTCTGTATAACAGCTCTAGATGCCCTGGAACTCGTTGTGTAAACCAGACTGGCCTTGAACTCACAGAGATCTGCCTACCTCTGCCTCCTGAGTTCTGGGAGTAAAGGCATGCACCACTACCGTCTGACGTTTGGACATCAATTTTAAAAATTCATGAGATCCACATTCATTTTTTTCAAGGTGAGAGAATTTTTTTCTTTTATGAAACAGTGTCTTGTAGCTCAGAGGCCCTCTGTCTTTCTGTAAAGCAGGATTACATTCAACATTTGATATTCCTGCCTCCATCTCTATGGTGATGATTTCAGGTGTATATCATTATCCTAGTTTATTGCTATGCGTTTTAGGGTTTTCTGAATACTAGGCAAGCACTATAACAATTAAGCCACAATCACAGTGTAGGGTAAAAAGGCCAAAGAAAGAACACCTTGACCCCCTCTTGACCCCAAGACCAGAACCAAAGGAAAAACACCCTGATCTTGACTTGACCCTCATACCAGGGCAAAGGAAAAAACTCTCTGACCCTGATTTGACCCCAAACCAAGACCAGGGCCAAGCAACAGAATCCCACAATCACTAAGTGTGATCCAAGTTCAGGCCACAAAAAATTCCCACCAATTCCCGGCTACCCTAGAAAGCTCCACCCCTCTCCTGCACTCCAAGACACTCTATAAAAACTCTGCCTTCTCTTCAGTTCCTTGCTGCTCCTCACCTGACCAGAGGCAGCCACCCTCCTGGTTTTTCTCCCTGCCAGTAAATCTCATTTGTGAGGTTTGTTTTTCAGTGTGACTTTGTGGTATTCCTTGGCTCCTCAAGGCCAGGATACATTTCCCTTCAGAGCTGTAAAACTTACATTGTGGAGACCTTTCCCCCCACCATAACAGAGCTCTAACACTTCTATTGGGGCACCCTGTCCCTTCAGAGCTGCAACACTTTCACATAGTCCCTGAAAATGTGAGTTTGTACATCAACTTGACACTTTAATTTTGCTGAAAACAAACAAATTTATTTCAAATAGCAGTCAAACAGAAACAGAAGATCAGTGAACTTGCTTCAAAAGCAACATGGACATCAGTTCTAATGACCAGAGGAAGACCCCATGGCAGTGGGGACATCCCAGTTCAGTTCACATGAAGCTTTAGGACAGGCTGAGCTTTTCGAAGAGGTACTCAGCCAAGTCATTCTCTGGGGCCCCCTTCTGGCGCAAGTTGGTCAGATATTGGCTCACCTCCTTCAGAACTTAGACCTGCTGATTCAAACAGCTTTGTTCCAGGAAGTTGCAGAGGTAGGCGTTGCCTTTTCCCTTGGCCAATGCGTGCAGGTTCAGCAGGCTCTGATTGATGGTCATCTCCATGTGGAAGACGTACTCCATAGCCTGGATGCCTCCATGCCAACTGTCGCGGTCTGGTCCCGAGATGCAGTATCGACGAAGGTCGATGCAGCCTCCACACTGATTCTGCAGGATCATGAACATCTCGGCACTGGCCTTGTGGTCGTGTGACTTGCTCAAGAAGAAACGCTTCAAGTTCTCTTGGCCCACGTCATCACGGTCAAAGTAGAAGGCCATATATAAGTACACAGAGGAGGCAGAGAGCTGCAGCTGAATATAGGTATTGACAGCGTCCTCACAGTCACAGTCATATTTCTGTCCCACTTGTGAGGATGCTTCAGCCATGGTGGGCGATTGAACACCACAACAGTCTCAGCAACTTCTGTACCTGATCAGAGGAGCAGGGTGATGAGGACAGGTGGAGTCCCTGGGTCCCTCAGAAGACAGGAAGTCCCCAGTGGAGCTCAACAGAGAAGCGTCTGGAAGCTCTGAGGAAAGCCCAGGGCAACACGGGAAATGACTGTTGGCGCCTGAGGATGACGTCATTTTGGCTCCAGGGCTTAGAGTGGGGAGGGGGCGGGTCAAGAACGCTCATTTGCATAGCAGCAGGGCCTGCTGGGCCCTGACTGACATAAGCCATGTTTTAAAGGGTTCTATGAATAAAGTCCAAAGTTTTAGGCTAAATCCTTTCGATGCTTTATAAAAGCAGTTTCTCTGATTATCTCCACAATGTTATTTCTCTCAACATTCTGCCGTTTGCTTTCCTTAAGTCAACTTAATATCGTAAGGTTTATTTGAATGACAGCTCTCATCACAGGCCTCAGGTAGTATTTACCTGACCATAGGTTGAAGGGTCATCAGTGCAGAGTGCGCTTAGTAAACCAGGCAACTGTGTGATGACCTTAACTTCTTTCTTTCTTTTCTTTTTTTTTGTTTTTTTTTTTTGAGACAGAGTTTCTCTTTGTAGTCCTTGATGTCTGGAAACTCACTCTGTAGACTAGGCTGGCCTTTTACTCACAGAGATCTGTTTGCCTCTGCCTCCCAAATGCTGGAATTAAAGGCGTGCACCACCACTGCCTGGCAACCTTAACTTCTACATAGGATTTTAAAATAGTTTTTCAATAATGAAAGTAAAAGCTTTTTTCATTAATACAGAAGGTGACTGAGAAAATAGACATTTTGATGCCTTTCTATGGGTAATATAATTAGTCATGGTGATTCATTGTCATCCAACATTTTTCTATTGCCACTGCTATGAAAAATAAGATTTTTAAGTATTAAATTAAATGAATAAAGTTGATTAAATTAGCTTTTTAAGAGTTTATTTTGTCTTTACTATGAGTATATGTGCAAGTATTAAATTGAGTGATCTTTTAAGAAGGCTAATATTGTGTTTAGTTTATAACTAAAACAAATGATGTGTTATTTCTTAAAGTAGAATATAATCCGATTGGTCAATACAATATTTAAAGTATATATCATACACATTAGGGAACGACTGTCTTAAAGTAGAGGGTTTCATAGATATATACTCACCAAAGAAAATGCAATTTCTTACATCCATTTGAAAACTCTTTTCATAGTCCATCAACATACTTTCTATAATATAATCTTAAAGTGACTACAATAAATTCAGTAAATAATTGTGAAGAATTTGTATTTTCTTTCACAAGAGTTGTTGCAATTATTAATTGTTAATCCTCCAACCCTACCTAGAAATGATGAAACATGACTTTTCTTCTTGACTAAAGCACAATATTATTTAAAACTGACACTTTCTGTTCTTATATTTTTAAAAAATCACATGAAGATTGCTTTAGTCAAAGGTCTATTGCTGTGTAAAGACATCATTTCCATGACAACTCTTATAAAAGAAATCTTTTAATTGGGACTTGCTTGTTATTGTTCTTTTTAAAAATAAGATGATATGGTGGCCCCGGGCGGCCTGCAAGCCAGGCAGAAGCTGCCACCGGAGCAGTACAGGGTCCCCAGGCAAGCGGCAGAGTCAGGCGGCTGAATGCGGTGGACGGCAGAGTAAATGGACATAAGGCTATACATAAAGCTAGACATTTATTACTTAAAGAAAGGAAAACATAAACAAACATAGAGAAAACAAAGACACACACACACGCACACACACACGCACACACACACGCACCAGAGAGAGCGAGAGAAAAGATGGCTGCAGGGGAGGTCCAAAAGTGGCTGAGGTGAGCGTGGTTAGTTCTTAAAGTGGCAGCAGAAGACTAACATTCCCGGATCCTTTTTATAATAAAAAGTAGAAGGTTAGGCATTACAGGTTGAAGGAATTTGGCCGGTGAATTCTCAAGACTGCTTCCAGCTGATTTGTGGGCATCGTCTTTGGGGGGTGTGGGGGTGAGGGAGATCCGAGAGAAGCTGGGTGTTGGTCACATCCTGGCATAGCTGGTCTCTGCTCCCGACAGGACAGGTGTCTGTGGCATGGAAATGTCCCTTGTACCTGGTTAGGGTGTTGGCATAACAGAGGACAAAGTTAAATTGAGAAAAAAAATTTTAGGACCAGGGAATTGAGAGGTTTGTATCTGACCTGTTTACGGTGGGTTTTTAATTCGGCTCCCTGGAACTCATACGGAAAAACAGAAGTTTTAGACATATACATTGTATTAAGAACTCCCTGGGTTTGTAAAAAGCAGAAATTATAATGAAAAGTATTTTTATTTGGTGAGACAACCTGGCAAAACCTCTTAGCTATCAGACTATCAGAGATCTTTGAGAAGGATAAGATTTTACTTGAGTTACTGGTTAAAAAATGACAGAGAACTTACATGGTTGGCACCCAGAGCTACCACACACACACGCGTGCACACGCACCCACACACACGCACCAGAGAGAGCGAGAGAGAAGATGGCTGCGGGGGAGGTCCAAAAGTGGCTGGGGTGGGCGTGGTTAGTTCTTAAAGTGGCAGCAAAAGACTAACACTTATAATTTCAGATGTTCAATCCATTTTCATCATGATGGGGAAACATGGCAGAAAAATGGCTAAGAGGCCTGTTTGCAGCAGGGAAAGCCACTGGGTGTGACATAGGCTTTTGAAACTTTCAAAGCCCACTCCCAGTAGCACACTTCCTCCAATAAGGCTGCACCTACTCCAACAAGGCCATATCTCCTAATTCTTTCAAATAATGCCACTTCCTGGTGACCAAGCATTCAAATCTATGAGCCTATGCATGCCATTCTTATTCAAACAACTACATTCCATTTCCTGGTCCTCATAGGCCTGAGGGTATATTTAAATGCAAAATACACTTAGTCCTACTTCAAAAGTCCCATAATCTATCATGGTCTCAACACTTTTCAAAAGTTCAAAGTCTCTTCTTAGACTCCTGAAAATCTCTTTACTGTAACCCCTATAAAATCAAAAAGTAAATCGCATACTTCCAATATATAAAGTCACATAATATATATTACCATTCCAAAAGGGAGCATAATGAGAAAAGACTGCAGCAAAGCAAGACCAGAAAACAGCTGGGCAAACTCCAAGCTCTGAAAAGTGCTCTTCAGCTCTCCAATTTCTTTTATCTTTGTTGACTACAGCACACTTCTCTCTCTTGGGCTTGGGCTGGTTCCACATCTCATTAGCTGCTCTCCTTGGCAGGTATCTCACAACTTTGATATCTCCAACATCTTGGAGTCTCCAGCAAAATCCAGGCTTCCATTCACAGCTTCACACAAAGGCCTCTGTGAGCCTCCTTGCAGGAACACTCCTGTCACATACCTGGGCCTTGGTGGCTTTCCTTAGCTGAAGAGGGAGGTACGATAATCCCTTGTATCCTAGATTCTAAATCCAGAACCTTGTGTCTGAAGCTGCCAAGTTTTTTCTGCTTCCTGATGCTGGAACATGGCCCCCTCAAATACATTTTTACCAGCTTTCAGATTTTGATGGTTTCCTTCACTGTCTGAGTTTGGCTATCCTAGAATATGCTCTATAGACCAGGCTGGCTTTGAATTCAGAGATCTGACTTTGCCTTGGACAAGGGAAAAGAGCAGCGACATTCTTTGCATAAATATCACAAGAATGGTCTCTGGGCCACTTACGTTTTCCCTCTGAAACTTCTTGAGCTGGGCCCCCACAGCTCAAATCACCCTCAGTACTGTCTTCCATGTGTTGTGGGAGTAACTTCCGCTGCCTCAACCAATAGTCGCTGAAATACGAGCCCACAGTGCAGCGGGGAGCGACTTCCGCTCCGTCAGCCAATAGCTGCTGAAATACCAGCCCACTGGGGCGTGGTATATTTCTCTTTTAAAAAGAGAAACATATCCGGAATAGGCTCTCTTGGTTCCGGCTCTTGGTTCCGGTGCTTGCTCCTGGCTCCTGCTCCCAGCTCCTGCGACTAGGCTCCCTTCCTGACGGTTTATGGTGTATGTAAGTTTTACCCCCCAAAATAAATAACCCCTTAAAACATAACTGGTGTGGGATTGATTCGCCGATAATTGACGCCCAACGTTTGGTTTAAGAACCGCCCCACCCCCCCACCCCCAGCTCGGCCTCCCAGGATACACAGGTCCGGACAGTCTCTGCCGGCTTACTTTGCCCTGTTCGGCACGGATTTTTAAATTTCTCCTTGCAACGTGAGTCAAAGAGCTCACAGTGCAAGCTCCCTTTGAAGTTCCAGCAAGCTGTTTGAAACCCCTGCCATCCGCCATAACTGATTAGGAGTGCTGCAAGCAGCTTGACCCTTAATCCCAGCACAGGGACACGGGGCCCAAAGCACTAGGCCTCTTTAGCAACAGTGCAGTGGCTGTGTCATGACCCTCTGCATCCGGTTGAACAGAGCAGCAGGGCCTTGCAGGATCCCCCAGAAAGAACGTCGCCCCCATGACAGCTGGAAGTAATTCTAGAGAACGACGTCCCCTCTCCCAGTAAAGTTTGTCCTTGGGTTTAGGGACATCATTTAGGGGTTGGTTATAATTAGTATAGGGTTGAGGGTTGGGGGAGGAATTTTATAAGCGCAGGAATCCAAAAAAAAAGAGGGATAATTGGATTATGGGATAATAGCTTTGTACTTGTGAGTTATTGATTTTAGACAAATATATTGGTATTGATTCTTATATATTGATACAAACTTAAATTATGTTGACTATTTTAGGCATGCATGCTTCTACCTCTGTTTAAAACATTTTTATGTATTGACATATATATATTGTATTGATATATGTATATTTTACCATATTGCATTGTACACTTCTACCTCTGATTAAGATACTTATATATTGTTTATGTATTGATATATATATTTACCATATTGCAATGTATACTTGCACATTGTTTATACTTGGAGGTCATATTGTCCCCATTTATTATACAGTTGTTTACTATTTCAGTCTTTAAGTTAGATAGATATTGAGAATAATATAGATCAATAGTCATCTAAGTTTGTCATTTATAATTAGACTAATCAGGTTCTTTAGATACATAGACATTATATTCAGCATAGATAGATAATCTTC